CCCCGGTTCCGGGCCAGGCGGAGCCGAGCGCGGGGAACGGCCGTCCCGGCCCTGGAGGCCCAACCCGCGCCAAGTTCCCGCAGCCCTCGCAGGCTTCCTGCCCGCGACCCGGCCGCTGTCCTCCGGTCTCCGCGTCCCCAGCCCGGGCTTCTTTCTCTGCGCTGGGCCGGTGCTTCTCCCCCAGCTCCCCCCAGCGGCCTGGTGGCACCTGGGAGGTGTCCGGCGTCGATTCCTCAGACACCGAGCACCCACTACGTGCCAGCTCTACCCGGGCGCCGAGGGCTGTTCGCGTGGGTCCGGTCAGGCACCGCTCTCAGCCCTGTGGAGGCATTCTTTGCCCTCCCTGCAAACCTGAGGGGTATTTACTATTAACATCTCTATCGTACAAAAGAAAAACTGGAGGAGGCCCAGAGAAGTTTTCTTGCCGAGGATCTCAGCGAGAAAGTGTGGGAAGACAGTGGCACACAGTTCAGGGGCCGATAAGGACGACAGACAGGCATAAGGGTAACCATATGGTCGAACAGAAAGAGGTGGTAGGGTCCCGGTGGAAACACGGTGCGAGCGCAGGTGCCGCATCCCCGTTCCTCGTCTGGGCCTGGTATTCTGTGCTGCTGTGATTGAGTTGGATTTTTGCGAAAGGCTAGGGTTTCAAAGGGCTTGGGCACAGGCACAGAGACAAGACAGTGCAAGATCAGAAAGAACCACGAGCCTCGGAGAGATGGTTTTGGTGTGAGACTGCAGTATTAGAAGGGGCTGGAAGGCCTGGACTTTGTCATGTCGGTGGGGAACAGCAGCTCCTCGGGCTCGAGTTTTGGCTTTCCTGCCTGGGTGTTTTGGGGTCGACTATTCTATCTTCCCTTTGAATTAACAAGGTGCTGGAGTTGAGCAGAGCATAGCTCTACTTCCCACTAGACAGTACAAAGGCCTCGGGGCTCATGGACCCCATGAAAATTGTAAGAAAATGAGTCCATTGTTCACATATTAAACAGGAATATCGTCTTAATGAGGTAGATGTTTGTGCAGATGCCCTTTTGTGCAACACAAAGATTGTAGCAGAGGGAGCAGGTGGCAAAGTACAGAGATACATCTGGAATAGACTCTCAGAGTCTGGGATGATCCCAGAGTTGATCCCAAAGAGGAGAGAGGTAGAAGGGGATGGCCAAGCACAGGGACCAGCTGCCTGCTAAAGGCATCCTCCACAGTCAACTTCCCCTTCCTACAATTCTGCCCTTCAAAACCCCATCTTCTGAGATCACTGGAAGGCCTCAGGCCCAGTGTCCATCCTTCTTTATGGCCTGAAAACCTCTTAAGCAACATCCAGACACTTGCTGCTTCAGGTCAAGCTCTTTATGTCCCCATTTTCTGATTTGTTTTTCCTTATTCTGGTTCTCGGTGACTCTAAGTACAGACTAGTTCCTAGAAATCACTTTATTTTGCAAGTAGTTTCCAACCTTTTTTTGCTTAGGAATGTTCTTCCAGAATGTAAGGACCATCTGTCATTAGGTACTGACTAGGAATGGTACCCATACCAGGACCTCCTCCAAGCCCTGTGGATTATACCTCAGATGTGCATGGAGGAGGTAATCCAACTCCGCACCCAAAGTGTTCTCTCATCATCCCAGACCCGTAGTCACTCCAGCCTCTGTGTGGCCATTCCTGATGACAGGGACGCTCCTGACTTGTGATTGTTGCTGCATGTGTAAAAAGCATGACCTCATGTAGGCTGGGGTATGTCATATATCTCAGTACAGCTCATGTATCTTGAGAGAAAGTGAGAATCTCAGGGATATCAGTGATATTAAAAAAGTATGACTCTTGGGGCTGGATAGATGGTTCAGCAGTTAAGAGCACTCACTGCTCTTGTGGAGGACCCAGGTTTGGTTCCCAGCACCCACGTGGTAGCTCACAATTGTCCTTAACTCCCAGTTCCAGGAGATCCAACACCCTCTTCTGGCCTCTTTGGGCACCAGGCGTGCGCTTGTTGAACATACATATATACATGTAGGCAAATCACTCATGCACATAAAATTTTTTTTTTTTTTTTTGAGATAGAGTCTTCTAATAGCCTCAGCTGGGCTGGAATTCATATGTAGGTCAGGCTAACCTCATTTGCTTCTGCCTCCTGAGTGCTAGGATTAAAAGCGTGTGTTGCCATGCCCAGCAAAAATAAATCATAGAAAAAAAAGTCCAGCCCTTAGTGCCAGGTGTGGAGACACTCCTGTAATCCTAGCACTTGGGGGGGGGGTAGAGGAAGGAGACCTAGCAAGTTTTAGGTTAGCCTGACTATGTGAGACTTCATCTCAAAAACAAAACAAAATGGCTGGGTGTGGTTGCACATGCCTTTAATAACAGCACTCCAGAGGCAGAGGCAAGCAGATCTCTGTTAAGTTCAAGGTATGTAGTGAGTTCCAGGCCATCCATGGTTATATAGTGAGATCCTGTCTTAACAACCCCCACACACACACCCAAAGACTCCAACTCTTGAGTGGTTGAAATTTGCAATAATGGCCTTTTTAGCTTGTGGGGGAGGGGCAGCTAGAAAGGGGCAAAATCAGATTGTCCTGGAGGAAGGAGAATTGGTCATTAAGATTATCTGTTAAAAGGGGACATGAGATGCTTTTTGAAAAGGCAGTTGAGCAACTCTCTTATTTGTGCCTCTCAGTGAAGCAGCTGGGGTTTTTGCTGGGTCATCATCAGGCAGTTCCTGTGCAGTTATGACAAGAGTGCAGGCCAGGCCCTAGTAAATCTGCAGTTTACTGTTTCTTCACTAAAACACCCCAGCAATGCTAAGTCACTGTTTACTTTGCAAAATTGCACTGTATATCTACCATGTGTTTAACACTGTGCTGTGAAAAGACACAGTATCCACCATTGAGATGCTCATAGTGTAGGGCAAACAGGAAATGACCATGCAGAGTGGTAAGCACCAAGGTAGGAGACTGCACAGTGTGCAGGCAAGGTGCCTGCAAGATGCAGGCCAGATCCAACATTCCCAGAGGAGGTCACCAGGGCAAGATCTGCTGCATGGTATAGGATATCCCTACTTCCACAGACATGGGCTCCCCATTCCCAGACTGGCTCCCCCACACCTAGGGGAGAAGGCTCACAGCACAATTGATGCAGTAAATGATGCTGGTTTCTCTTCTTTCTCTAAAGATTTCTCCGTGGACAATGGCAGCTACCATTCAGGCCATGGAGAGGAAGATTGAATCGCAGGCAGCTCGATTGCTTTCCCTAGAAGGTCGAACTGGGATGGCTGAGAAGAAGCTGGCAGACTGTGAGAAGACAGCTGTGGAATTTGGCAATCAGCTGGAGGGCAAGTGGGCCGTGCTGGGGACCCTGCTGCAGGAGTACGGGCTGCTGCAGCGGCGGCTGGAGAATGTGGAGAACCTACTGCGCAACAGGAACTTCTGGATCCTGCGGCTGCCTCCTGGCAGCAAGGGCGAGGTCCCCAAGGTAGCCTTTGAGATGGGGAGCCCGAGGGCATGTGCGTTTAAGCATGTGGGTGAGTGGGTGTGACACTGTGGTTTCAGGTCTGGGGCCTTTGATGATGTGGCTGTGTATCTTTCTGAGCAGGAGTGGGGCAAGCTGGAGGACTGGCAGAAAGAGCTCTACAAGCATGTGATGCGGGGCAACTACGAGACGCTGGTCTCCCTGGGTAAGGCCTGATACACACTCCCCTATAAAGTGGAATTTTACAAGTCCCCAGACCGCTCTGTTTGTGAGATGGTTGTTTTCATAGCAGTGATATGTAAATCCCTTTGAGCAAGGAGACATCTCCTCTTGAAGATGTTGTGGGTGATGGAGTCAGCTATTCCTTCTGCTTGGTGGAGTGGCAGACTGAGAAAAGTGGTGTTCCCTGTCCTCCCAGGCCCAGGTCCAGAGTGTGGGCATCTCTGTTCTTCCCATACAAGTGTAGGTGCTCCACTGCCCTCTGGTCCATTTGTAATCAACTCCACTGTAGAAGACTCATTTTTTCTTTTTTTTTTCAATTTTATGTGTATGAGTGTATTGCCTGCATGTATGTGAGTGTACCCATGTCATGCAGTGCTGTGGGGGTCAGAAGAGGGCTTCGGATTCCCCTGGAACTGGAGTTAAGGACCGTTCGGAGCCACTGTGTGGGTACTGGGAATCGAACCCGAGTCCTCTGCAAGAGCAGTCAGTGCTCTTAATCGTTGAGCCATCTGCAGAAGTCAGAAGAGGGCTTCAGATTCCCCTGGAACTTGAGTTAAGGACGGTTCGTAGCCGCCATATGGGTGCTGGGAATCAAACCCAGGTCTTCGCAGTCAGTGCTCTTAACTGCTGAGCATCTCTCCAGCCCCAAGACTTATTCTTTTATCTTCTGTTGAGTGGCTTTTATGTGACACACCACAGGGTCTGTGGAGAAGAAAGAACATCTTGCCTCTTGCAGCAGATACTCTTTCTGTGCCTTGAAACCTTACTGCTCTAGCCCCTGGGGATGCTGTCCTGAAAGGGCCTAGACCCCTCTTCTCAGTCTAACAAGTTGTGTCTGATAGGGTTGTAAGTGGCTTCCCCTACCTTATGTTCTGGTTTGCAGACCTGCTGCTGCTTAACATGGCCCTATATCCCAGCACCACTGGCACTGTGGACCAGATCATTCTTACTGGGGTGAGGGCTGTCATATGCATTATTGGGTGCTCAGCAGAACCTCCCCCATCTCCTAGACTCTACACAAGATTTTAGACTTTGTACCAAAATACCTGCCATTGAGAACTACTGTTCTATACCAATCAAGATAGTTTCTAGACTATTACTAGTTTTCCAGCTGCCTTTCCTCAGCTCTGATGGGAACATGGTAAAAGCTAACCTCCTGTCTTTCCTCAGACTATGCCATCTCCAAGCCTGAGGTCCTCTCCCAGATTGAACAAGGCAAGGAACCATGCACATGGCGTCGCACTGGCCCCAAGGTCCCGGAGGTTCCTGTGGATCCAAGTCCAGGTGAAGGGTTGGGAAAAGGCCAGGGATACGCTGAGTAAACCGTTGAACACAGAAAACCAAAGGGCCACCAGTGATGTTTGTCTTCTTTCCAAGAGACAGAGGGAAAGTTTCAGATCTGTTTCTCATGGTTGAATCATAACCTCTGACTCATCTATATGTACTCTAGAAAGCAGTGCTTTCCATCCTGGACATAGATAGCAAAAGCAGAGTCGGTGCAGAATTGGCAGGTTGTCTGGTCCAATGTGATTAGGACCCTGCATTTATTTCAGCTGAATGTGGATACTGGATATAGTGTCTCAGATTTCCCTGGAGCCAGTCAGCATTCTGCAAGTTATGGAAAGGACGGGATACATGAGAAAAGCTGGATTCCTACAGTGAAGACCTTGCTGGGTCATTTGGTGAGAGAGACCTTGTCTCTGCTCAACCTCTGCTTCCTCTCATCTGTCCTCGCCTGTCCCACCACTTTGAGTGTGTGTTCCTCTGATGCTGTCCTACTCAGAATCTTCCTGAGGTTATTTCTATGTAGTCAGGTATGTTTTACGTTTGTTGCTTCATCTCAGGTTTTCATTTTATATAAGGCAAAAGCAGGTTTAGAACTGAGCACACTGCCAATTCTCACGTCAGTGTAGTTCAGCAAATGTATTTGGAGAATCATCTAGGTACTAAGGCCAGTGTGACAGCTATAGGATGGAAAGGTGCCTAGCATTCTGTCTGGAAGAGGTGTGGGACACATACGGCCTTAGCTTCCAAAGCTGGGTGGGAGATCACGGCAGCTGTTTTCTTTATTGTGTTTGTAGCATGTAGAACCTTCCCTGGTTCCTGTACCATCACTAATGAGCACCAGTAGAAGCCCAGAGATATGCCAGTTGCCACCCTTCAGGCTCCACTGTCCACTTGAACCTGTCTGCAGAAACCGTATGTGGCCTTTCTCTCTTTAGTCAAGCAGCTGAGATCTCTGCTCCCGGCACTCCGTCTTTGTCTCTGCCCTTGTAGGGCCTCATCTCCTCTTCTATAATCTTCATGGTGCTTTGCAGGATCTACCATGTGCAGCAAGTCCTGCTGGGTCCTCTGTGCTCCTGTCCTTCTTGCTCAGACTGAGCCCTGGCTCTTCCCAAGGGTACTGCTTCCCTGCGGCTTCCTTATCCTCCTCCCTGTGTACCTCTGACATCGTGCTTTCACAGGACAGATGTCCTTGCTCCTCCTCACTGCTGCTTTCCCAGCCTTCCTCACTCCTCTGGAAACCCTGTCTTGAGGACTGAGGCCTACTTAGACCTCTACACACCTTGTTGTTCATTTGCTGTCAGTACTCTTGGAGATGGCTGTGACCACATGGACTGCCCTTAGTCCCTTTACACCCCCTTGGCCATCCTGACACTGTTGATGACAGTCACCACGTCCTTTCCATGTCTCCCTAACATGCCATCCTGTAGCCATCTCCTGCCAGTCCTTCCACTCCCTCCTTTAGAATCTCAAAGTCTAATAGGTCTTCAGCTTCCAGGATCTTCAAAGTACAGCTCCTCCTGCCTGCTCACTCTCCACTCAACTTCATTTCCCTGTGGCCATCATTAGTCATCCCCTTCTTACACTCATTCGACCCTCTCTCTGTACACTGCACCCACAAGGCAGAACTTTAATTAAGGATATCCTTCTGCCTGGTCTACGCCTGCATCCAGGCAGCTGCCCATGTCTGGAGCAAGCCCTGTGAATGTGCAGCGAGTCTCGCCTGCTATTCCTGACTGCCAGTATCACGTGGGAGCTCTGTGTCACTCACCAGTCAGAGGTTGGCAAATTATGGGCCAAACCTAGTCTAGCTGTTCATATAGGGCCCACAAACCAAGAATGCTTCTGTTGTTTTGGTTTGGGGGTTTGGTTTGATTTTGTTAGTTTGTTGTTTTGTTTTGTTTTTAATTTTTTAAATTATTTTATATGAGTGTTTTGCCTGCACATGTGTGCAAACCAGCAGAGACCAGAAGAAGGCCTCAGATTCCCTAGAACAGGAATCAGCTGCCATGCAGGTACTAGGAACCAAACCCAGGTCCTCCAGAAGAGCAGCCAGTACTCTTAACCACTGAGACATCTCTTTTTGAGACAGGGTCTCCCTGTAGCCCCAGCTGGCCTGGAACTCACTGTGTACACCAAGCTGGCCTTGAACACAGATCTGCCTGCCTCTGCCTCATGAGTGCTGGGATCAAAAGCATGCATCACCATGCCCAACATTGTTTTCATTGTTTTGTTAGTTTTGAAAGATTTTTTTTTTTTTTTTTTTTTTTTTAAGGAGCTGGGTGTGGTAGCCTGCCTGGTCTACCTAGAGAGAATTCCAGGCCACCTGAGGCTACAGTAGACCCTGTCTCAAAAAACACCAAAAATATATATTTTTGTTTTTTTTTTTAATTTTTAAAAACCTACTTTCTCAGCCCTCCTGTGTATCTCCCCTGCCTGTGTCCTGTGTCTGGGACTCTGCTTGCTTACCTTGCCACTACCCCACCCTCTGTTCCACCTGACCCTAGGTTCTGCCCCATGCCACCTTCTCAAAGGCCACACAGACTTTTCCCACCTTGACTCATTCCCTTCCCCAGACTCTGCTGCATTTCTCTTCTCTGCCCTCTTGTTAAGGAGGCCTCAAGAGAGAACATGGTGCTCACCGTTTCCCCGCCCTCCCTTTTGCTATCTTGAGAGCCCCTCCCACTGAGCACAACCTGTCTTGGTCTCCAGGGAACAGGTAGTGCTCAAAGGTCTTCCTCATGTGTTGGGAAGATTTGCCACCATAACTGTTTTAATCTATTTTCTTAATTCATAGGCTGGGTCATTTATAAAGAGATTTCTCACAGTCCTAGCTAGAAGCTGGGAAGATGAAGTCAAGGGGCCATATCTGATAAGATCCTTTTTTTGAGACAGGATCTCCCTGTAGCCCCAGCTGGCCTGGAACTTACTGTGTAGACCAGGCTGACCTTGAACTCAGAGATCTGCCTGCCTCTGCCTCCAGAGTACTGGGATTAAAGGCATGTGCCACTGCACCCAGCTCTTTCTCATTTTTTAAAATTTACACATTTTTAAAATATGTATGAGTGTTATGTCTACAAGTATATAAGTACATCCATGTCGTGCAATGCCTGCGGAGGTCAGAAGAGGCTGTCGGGTTCCCTGGAACTGGAGTTATGGGTGGTGGTTAGCCACCATGTGGGTGCTGGGATTCAAACCCAGGTCCTCTGAAAAAGCCACTGTTCTTAATCACTGAGCCATCTCTCCAGCCCCATCTTTTTTTTTTTTTAATATGAGTGTTTTGGCTGCATGTATATAAATATATCTGTGCAATGCCCATGAAGGCCAGAAGAGGGCGTCAGAGCCCCTAGAACAGATGGTTGTTGGCCACCATGTGGTTGCTGGGAACTAAAAGAGCAGCCAGTGTTCTTAACCACTGAGTCCTCCCTCCAGTCCCTAATAAGATCCTTCTTGCCTCCAGGCAACAAAGGGTATCCCCATGGTGAGAGAGAAAATCCTTCCTTCTTAGAAAACCTGCTTGGGCCATTATGGAAGAGGGTCCCACACTAAAGATCTCACCTAATCCTGATTGCCTCTGAAGGCCCCACCTCTAACACCAGTAACAGATCAAGGGATTAAGTTTCCAGCACAGTGATTCCAGGGACACACCAACTGCAGCACTGCTTCCTGCAGTCATGTCTTTGAACTCACAGGACCCCTCTATCTCCTGGGGTTCCTGCCTCACCCTCACTGCTCTTCCTTGCTGTTTCCTGTGTCTCTGAGGCCTTTCTGCAGTGGCATACTCACCTTCACAGTCCTTTATCCCTAATAGAAGCTTAGTACTAGGATTATTGATGTACACCACCATACCTGCCCCAATGTTTTTAACCAGTGTTTGCTATTTCAGAAACAACCATCTAGCTGGATGTAGTAGTGTATCTCTGTTGGGAAACTGAGGCAGAAGGATCTTGAGACCAGCCAGAACTGTAATAGTGAAACCTTGTCAAAACAAAAGGACAGGTATAGTGATGTATTCCAGGACTTCAGAGGCTGAGGCAGGTGAATTGCCATGAATTCAAGGCCACCCTGTACCAGACCCGCCACTGCTGCATAGTAAACACTGTCTATAAAGACAATGAAAGAGAAAACAAATATTACAACTTGTTTTCCAGTAATTTCTGGGTTTTCACTACCACAGGCAGCATGGTAGTGCCAACCTCGAGCACATCTTTCTTTTCTTCTGAACTGTTTTCCACTATCGTTGATCCTGGACTCTGTGTGCATCTAGATACTAATCCTTTGTCTATTATTTGCATTGCAATACTTCCTAGTCTTGTGGGTCTTTTAACTTTGTAGTTCTTTTTACAGATTCTTTTATTATTGATAAAGTCAAACATATCAATCGTCTTTATGATCTGTGCTTTTTCCCTCTAATATCCTTGTCTACCTCCTTACTCTAGGTCAGAAATATGGATTTTCTCTTTTTTTTAAGGAGAATTTTTCATTTTGGTTCATGATTTCAAAGAGGTCTGTCAGAGCTCACTGGTTTCATGTTTCTGTGCCAATGTTGAGGCAGAGCACCATGGCCTATGTAAGAGGAAGGAGGCTGTGTACCTCAGCAGACAGGAAGCAGGGTAGGATGCCATATTATCTTAAGGTGTTTTGTTTTGCTGTACAGGTCATCAGGCTTGGCAGCTGACCTTTACACATGGAACCATCTCACCAGGCTAATACTGTATTTTCTTATAAAACTTTTAAGGTTTTGCTTTTAAATGTTGGGTTTTTAATCCATCTAGAAGTAATATTTGTATAGATTGCAAGGGAGGATTTAAAATTTTTCCATTGGGTACACTGGGTATGGGGCTACACACATATAGTCCCATTACTGGGGAGTAGGGACAGGAGGATCAGAAGTTCAGGGTCATCCTCCATTACAGAGTGAGTGAGAAGGATGGCAAGATGGTTCAACATAAAAGGCACTTGCCTACCAAGACTGATGACCTCAGTTTGATCCCTGGGAC